AGCGACGGGTATTTTCGCTTGAGCGAGAAGTGATTAAAATATGTGGTGATCCAAGTTGCGTTATGTGGCTAACTGCGTTGGACATTTAGCCTGTGGTCAATTCTCGCTCAAGCGATGAGTTACTTCGCTCGAACGAGAATTGATTGGGTAACTGCGTTGGACCGTGGTCAATTCTCGCTCAAGCGAGACATCCATTGCTTGAGCGAAGAAATTTATAATCGATTATAATTTGAACTAATCGATCATAATTTTAAAATAATCGAATATATAAAATTATGATCAATTATTTCTCTCTCGCTCAAGCGAAGAAACCCACTACAACAGAAAACACATGTAATAATGGTTCCACATGTTCTATAATAGCGGTTAAAAACGGTTAACGTGGAACCGCTATCATATATTTGTCACTTTTAAGAGCGGTTAAAGTGGAACTGCTATCATATATGTGTCACTTTTAATATCATATATGTGTCACTTTTAAGGGCGGTTAATATTTTAACCGCTCTTAAAAGTTAACATATAATAGCGGTTCCACGTTAACCGTTATCTAAAATATACTTTTAATAGCGGTTAGTTCTAGAACCGCTATCTAAAATCTCGGGTCAATTCTCGCTCAAACGACGGGTACTTTCGCTTGAGCGAGAAGTGATTGAAATATGTGGTGACCCAAGTTGCATTATGTGGCTAATTGCGTTGGACGTTTAGCCTGTGGTCAATTCTCGCTCAAGCGAGAAACCCATCGCTTGAGCGAGGAAACCTGCAACTATTTACAATGCTGAGTCACCCACCCAAGTCAGGATTCCCATGTCTTTCTGATGCACACAAGTAAAGAATCCAATGCTGAGTTACCCACCTAAGTTAGGATTTCAATCTTGGATTCCCTGCATTGGGTTAGACAAAGGCAGAAGAATCCAAACATATTTAAAGAGATGTTGACCCACCCACTTTGCTTGGGTTTTATGTGCGTCAGAAACCATGTGAGGGAGCATTGGATTCAAACCAATGGACTTCATTATAAATATACCACTTTCATTCTTTGAAGTTCTCACATTGCACACTCCTAAATCTCTGAAGCTATTTGCATTATTTCTTCTTCTTACCTTTAGTCTTCTTTGTGTTCCACACTCCTAAAATGGGTGTAGTGTCTACTATTGTCCATTATGATGGTTTCATGAACCCATGTCCCATGGAGGGAGTTACCTTCAATACTGGGACTGCAAAACTTGTTCCTTTAAAGAGAGGAATTTCTCTACAAAGGTTGAAGAAGTTGATCCACAAGAAATTAGAGAAAGAACCCCACGAAAATGTACCAACCATCCATTTTCGCTGCCCAACTAGACTCGGAGTTGGGATCAACAACTTCATTGCTATTGAGTTGAAAGATGATGACGACGTGGAGGCCATGTTCGATGTTCATGATTCAAACTCAAGTCTATGTGGTATTGAAATTTTTGTTTCATTTAAAACTTCTTCTTCTTCATACCCCAACACACACTAACCAGAAATTTCACCCTTACCCTACCAAGCTTTCCCAAACACTGACCCAGAAATACCCACACATAATGACTACATCCCTTTTACCCAACTTCTAAGTGGGTCTTCCACCAACATCAACGAAGAACTACCCACACAAGAGAACAAAATTGTTGGCCTCCCAATTGAATTCGTTGATCCTTTTAGTGAGGATGAAGACGAAGATGAAATTCTCAGCCAACACCAAGATGATTCAGAGGACGAACAACCACATATCCCTACACATGCACCAAACTTCATGGAACCATACAACCCACCACAACATTTTCTTAACTTTGAAAGTCACATTCAACAACAAGACCCAGAGTATGGTCATGCGTTGGACAGAGAGTCTTTTGTTTCTCCGGCAGGAACTCTATTTCTTGGACAACGTTTCATAACAAAAGAACAAGTTCAAGATGCCATCAACCGCTTTCACATTGTCAATCACTGCACATACAAGGTGAAAATTTCAAACCAAAGTAGATATGTTGTTGAATGTGTTGATAACCAATGCAATTTGAAATGTCGAGCAATATTGCGCACAAGAGAGCAATATTGGGAGATTATGAAGCTTAAAGGGCACCATACATGCGTTTCGCCATTAATCAGCCAAGACCACATGAAGTTGGGATATAAAATGATTTCCCAAACAATTGGTCAAATAATTGATGCTGATTCGTCAACACCAATCTCCACAATCATAGTCCACATCCAATTAACAACGGCTTACACTATAACATACAGGAAGGTCTGGTTTGCCAAACAAAAGGCAGTGGAGATCATCTACGGCAATTGGGAGGATTCGTATAAGAAGTTTCCTTGTTTGTTACAAGTCATGCAACAATTTGTTCCCGGATTCATCTACAAACTGCAGTCACAACCAACTTATCAAGGTGAAGTCCTTCAACAAAATTCAAATATTTTTAAACGTGTGTTTTGGTCGTTTAGCTCATGCATAGATGGATTTGTTCACTACAAGCCCATTGTTCAAGTGGACGGAACTTTTTTGTATGGAAAATATAGAGGTACCTTGTTGGTTGCAGTAGCACAAGATGACCGCAACAACATCCTCCCCATTGCGTTTGCAGTGGTTGAAGGTGAAACAAGTGATGCCTGATTTTTTTTCTTAAAAAACCTTCAAAGATATGTTACACCCAGCAAGGATTATGCCTCATATCGAATCAGACATGAATCCATTAGAAGTGCATACATGAGAAATGGAAGCGGATGGACAAAAAATAATTCAATGCATGTCTACTGCATTAGACACATTGCACGAAATTTTATGAGACGTTTCAAAAATACCGCACTGAGGAAAGATGTTGTAAATATGGGTAATTCCTTTGCTTCAAATTTGTTACAATTTATTCATTATTTAATTGTTGCTAATAAATATTTATATTAACTATGTTTTTTTAATATTGTTGTAGCGTATGGGATGACTGAACCACGATTCTACTATTATTACAACATATTGAGGCAATGTGACATAAAAGCAGCTAATTGGTTGGATGAGATACCTAGAGAAAAATGGGCACTTGCATGGGACAATGGAAGACGTTGGAGCCACATGACGACCAACATAGCAGAGTCTATCAACTCTGTTTTGAAAAAAACAAGAAATCTACCTATTTGCTCCATGGTCAACGTAACGTACACCTATTGCAACAAATTTTTCATTGAAAGAGGGAGGCAGATAGATGTCATGATCAATGCTGGTCATGTATACTCTGAAATTTTGGTCACAAATTTAGAGGAAGCACAAACACAGACAAACACGCATAGGGTCATAACTTTTGACAGTGTCTACCACAAAATTTGTAGTAGAAGAAACACAAAACCCGCGTGAAGTTCGACCGGCGAGGGAAGTTTGTAGTTCACCTTGATGAGTTATGGTGTGACTCGTGGGAAATTCCAAAAATTTCACATGCCTTGTTCACATGTTCTTCGCTGCATGCAAGCATGCACACCATGACTTCAACAACTATATTAATTCGGTGTATACCTTACAACAAGTTTCAAAGGTATACGGAACACAATTTGGGTTATTGCGAAATGAAGAATATTGGCCAACATACACAAGACCTACTTTGTGTGCAAATCCAGAAATGAAAAGAACTTCAAAGGGCCGACCAAAATTAAGTCGTATAAGAACTGAGATGGACATTACAGAAAATCAAAGTAGGATTAAAAAATGTTCATATTGTCATACCCCTGATCATAGCAGAAGAACATGTCCCAATGTTGCACGTGCATCTACTTCGCATCATTAGATTGTGTTAGTTAAGAAATGTCTCAATGTATGAAACTTAGGATTTTTCAATTAATTGAAAGTGATGAAGATCTTATTGAATCATTTGATAAAACGAAGATCTTGTGGGTTTGATGAAGTCAAAGGTTATTTAAGGAACTTTTTGCTAACTGTTTTAATCGATTAAAATATGTTGTTATCAGTTAAAATAACTTAGAAAGTTTTGTGAAAAGTTTTGAAGAAACTCATTCTGCAGGAGCTGCATAATCTGGGTTTGATTGTTCTAGTTTCTTTTCTTTGTTTCTTTACATATTATGGGTATCTGGAAGCTTGAGCGAGAATTTACCACAAGCTAAACGTCCAACGCAGTTAACCACATAATGCAACTTGGGTCACCACATATTTCAATCACTTCTCGCTCAAGCGAAAATACCCGTCGCTTGAGTGAGAATTGACCTGAGATTACCCATTTGTTACAGGTCTCCTCGCTTAAGCAAAGTTTCTTCGCTTGGGCGAGAGAGAAATAATCGATCATAATTTTGTATATTCGATTATTTTAAAATTATGATCGATTAGTTCAAATTATAATCGATTATAAATTTCTTCGCTCAAACGATGGATGTCTTACTTGAGCGAGAATTGACCACGGTCCAACGTAGTTACCCAATCAATTCTCGCTTGAGCGAAATAACTCATCGCTTGAGCGAGAATTGACCACAGGCTAAACGTCTAACACAGTTAGCCACATAACGCAACTTGGGTCACCACATATTTTAATCACTTCTCGCTCAAGCAAAAATACTCGTCGCTTGAGCGAGAATTGATCGGAGATTACCCCTTTATTACAGATTTCCTCGCCCTTTATTACAGATTTTCTCGCTCAAGCGAAGGGTTTCTTCGCTTGAGCGAGAGTTGATTGTGCAATATAATCGATTATAATATAAAATAATCAATTATTTTAATACGTGAACAATAAAAAGTGTTAATTATGTAAATAATGTTCCTGATATACTATTTTAAAAAATATTTTAAAAAATAATATTATTTATGAAAAATATTCTCTTTGAACCATGGCATGCGTTACTCGCGCATATATCTTGTTCTGTGGCGCCATGAGTTAACTGCTATTTCACATCACACCACCCTTATTCCATGTTCCACCTAACTTAACCTTCACCACGTGATTTCGGGACCCACACGCTACGACTTGGTGCTCTCTCCGCTACTTCTATCTATGGCGGAAACCGACCCTTCGTGGGCGCTCCGCAACCTCACCCGCGTCGCCACCCAAATCTCCAACCTCTCCGCCTTCAAGCCCCTCCTCAGGACCCAATGCTGCGACCTCGCTCGCCGCATACGCTTCCTCGCTCCTCTCTTCCTCGAATTGCACGACGACGTCTTGTTGAGTGGTGCTGTTTCCTTCCACGCGCTCCAGGACGCTCTCTTCAAGGCCAGGGATTTGCTCCAATTCGCAACCTGCGCAAGCCAGGTTTACATGGTGCGTTCATCAATTCACACGACTAGCTTTCTGTTAGTACATTGCATTTCTCGTTTGAAAATTGTTAGCAATACACGGTTTTTTATGTCAAATTTATATTACAAAAACAAATTACACCACATCTCTTTTTGTAATGAGATTCACTGTTTTACTCGTAATTTTGTATTTTTTAAAAGAACATTTTAGGTTTAATTTTTTAATCTTCATTGAAGAAGCTAAAAAATATTAAAATTATATATGCAGGTAGTAAAGATGATTGAGAATTAAAAGTTATATGTGCATCGCTGAAAGGAATGTTTTAAATATAAAAATTAAAAAAGGAATTTTTTTTTAAGTGTGTTCAGAACTGAAATTTAATTAATAATTTGTGTTCAAAAGAATATAGAGAGTGTGTTGCATGTACTTCTTTATGTTTTGTTTTTGTAATGTCATTTGTTTTATATTTGAATTTCATTCGTTTTTTTGGTTCTGTGGATGTTGCTTGGAATTGCAGATACTGGATAGAGAGCAAGTTAAGCACAGATTCACTGATGTTGCTGTTCGTTTTGAACATGCTATAAGCAAGATATCCATTGACGAGGTTGATGTTTCTGAAGAAATTAAGGAACAGGTGAATAATGTTTGTGAAACTTTCTTTCTCTAGAGAACTTGATACTTCTTAGCCAAGGAGAATGTTGCATGTCCGTAATTGCTAAGAACGTAAGGTCACATTTGGGTGTATAGTTTAGTATGTTATAGGTTCAATTTAATTTTTTGCTTATTTTTGTCAGCTTAGGGAGATCTATAAAAAATAAGTGATTATTTGCTCAGACTTGTTTAAGTTTTTTTTTTTTGCATTTACGAATTCATCAATGCAGATCATTCCTCTCTTTCCATGTTGAAGCACCAAAATATGTGAAACTTGTAGCTTGTTTTTATAAGCTTCACTAAAAAACTTATTGAAATAAGTTAAAAAGAGGTAACATTGAAGTCATAAGCCTTTTTTATAAACTTGATTAAATATTTGCTTAAGTCTTTATATTATAAGATGAGCTAATGTAAGTTTCGTTATAGATCTTCCCAATATCCTCCAAAAAATGTTATTTTCTTTTTGTTGTGTTGGTCTCCAGTTGTAGTGAGTTCATTAATTTCTCGTTTTTCTGTTGCTACCTCTTCTCCTTTTATTTAATTGTAAGTTCTTATTTGTCTGCACCTGTTGTGATCTTCAGGTTGCACTTGTGACCACTCAGTTTAGAAGAGCTAAAGAGCAGTTCGACCCACCGGGTCTTCAGCTTTATGAGCAACTTCTGTCTATTTACAACCAGAGTAATGATGAGCATACTGAAACTTCTGAACTACGTTTAATCTGTGAAAAGCTACAATTTATCAATGTGGATGACGTTAAGCAAGATTCACTTGCTCTAGAAAAGATGGTTGTAGAGAGGGGGGCTCATTCTCAAAAAAGCATACATGAAATGTCTTTAGTTCTGCTGAAAAAAATCCAAGATTTCTTAATAGTGGATTCAGGAAACAATATTGTGTCTCCAAGTGAAGATTTATCTCAACATACCGATGAGTCATACCTGAAACTATGTCCACAACCATTGGTTATACCTGATGAGTTTCGCTGCCCAATATCTCTAGAGCTAATGAAAGATCCTGTTATCATTTGCACAGGGCAGGTTTGTACTTGATATCACTTTTTTTTAATTGTTCTTATGTATTATAGAAGTTCAGAAAGTATTATGACTAACTGATATGTTTAGTTTTATTGGTATGTAGCAATAGACAACAAAGTCGCATCTTTGATGTCAGTCTTAATTAAGTTCATTTATTATACAGTTTGTAGTTGCTAGTTTGAGTTTTCCTTCATGGTAACCTATTTTGTTTCTGTTCTTTTCTATTTGTTATTCAATAATGTGATCTTTTAACAGCAATCAGTAACCAAAATATTGCATTGGTCTCAGCGGTATCTCTGAGAAGGGGAAGAGAGAGTAAGACAAATATTGAAAGAAGTTGTTGAGATCTCATGATAAATAATCTCTCTAAATATTTGGTCTATAACTGAGTTGCATAATGTGGTATACAAGATTGTCAAACTTGAGAGTTTATGTAAACTTATAGAGACTATATAAGCTTGACTTTGCCAATCATATACTGAGTTTGCTCAATATAAAAATAATATTAAAATACCTATATTATACTGAAATACTCCCAGATCTCAAAATTATACACATTTCAAGTTAAATGTGAAATAAACTGTCACTCACAAAATTTTAAATGTTGAAAGTAGTATCTCATTATTTCAGCATTATAGATGAAACTGAGAGAGACAAGAATCAGGCTTTTAAGCAGTTTTCAGCTCCTAGCTGCTGCTCTGTTTGAATCAGGCTTGTCTGTCATCATAGCTGATATAATAACTTGTAGTTATAAGAGTTTTCTAAACAGATTTCTTTTCTTGAATAAAATAATATGATACAATTAGATGAAAATAACCATATTCATCTTTGAAAAATTGGGTTTCTTATATAGTAGATAAATTTATCTAGAAGACCAAACGATTTTCTGTTTTATACTATTCTAAGGAACTTGTAAGATACTGCTGAAAATACTTCGGAAAAGAAAACAGTTCTTATTCTCCTTTCCCTTTAAAAGTGAGAAATAAAATATTACTCTAAGTCTAAACCATGTTATAATCTGTGAAAGTTGTTTTGATATGCACAAAAGATAATGATCCCTCTCGAGCAACTAGATAACAAAGAGGAAAATTGACCAAACTTTTCTATGCCCCTTTTCATTAATGGAATTGATTTACATATATGTGAATTGGTTACGAGAATGACAGATCGAATGCCATGTGGACAACACAAGGAAAAATACGGAACAAACTAGAAAGGAATTATAATTTAACTAAGCATTTGTTAGGCATAAGCATTGAACCACTATGGTTTTTGCTTCACTCTCATGGATTAGACATATTGGATTTGCTTGCATTGTGTGGCCCATTATCCTTGTTATTCATTCTTATCATATTTGGGCACACAACATCAGTAAATGTATGATTACTTTGCCCCTTTAGAATGACTTAACCCACAAGGTAAAAATTAGGATAAGTATATGCAAAGTGCTCCTTATCTTCCCAAGTAGATTATGTTGCACTAAACTCATCTCATTGCAAGAGCAATTGGGTTTAGGTAGTTGCATTTACAAAGAGTATGTGCTAACCCAAGATGCGATCCGATTGAAGTAGCATATGCTGAGAAGTTAGCATGTGTGGTGATGGAGTGACTGAAAATGGTGGTGTACCTTTGCAAAGTTTGAGCTTGGAGATGTGGAAGACCTTATGGGCCTCAAATCTTTTTGGAAGGTTAAGCTCTTAGGCAACGGGTCCAATAACACACATGATCTAGAAGGGATTGAAGTAACAAAAAGCAACCTTAGAGAAGGGTTGGTGCCGAAGTAGTTCCACTACAATAGTATAGAATTGTTACACTCATAGATTGTGCTATTCATTCGGATACCAATTTTGTAACCAAGAATTGACAAAATTGTGAGTAGGAACCAAGGTAGGTGGTCCAAAAGAGCTACCTGTAAGAGTAAGTTTATGGTCCTTATGAAAGGGAACATCAAACATTTGTTTGCCTATCTTAAAGGGAGTTATTGGGCAATAACAAAAACACTGAATTGTGTCATCATTTCCCACCAAAATGAAAGTGGGTAAGTTTTCTACTGCAAGGCCCAAAAATTGGGCAACCCAAGGTTGCATTCTATTATGGAGCTACCAGAGTCTATCAAGACAATAAGGGTAAAAGATCCAAGACATGGAGTGTCTTTTGGGATGGTGGACCCGCAAGTATTACACATAAACAACTAAAAATGCGGGTGGTTCTCATATAGTTGTGGTCCATCTTCAAGTGGACTGACCACTACTTTTGTTTTAGTGGTAGGGTTAGTCTCCTCTCCTTGAACAACATGTGGCTCGTTATCTGGTACCGAGAGAAATTGCTTGACATGACATTTGTAACCCAACCTTAACTTTTTATCACAACTAAAACACAAGCCATATGCCCAATGGTCTTGTATCTCAGCTAGGGATAAGTGACGTGATTTGTTAACAATGGGTATAGCTTCTGGTCCATTAGGTGGACCCTTGGAAGTACAAGGGACAAATTGGTAGTTATCATAAAACTTATCTTCAATTAATTTGGCAAGGCCTATCGCTTGAGACAAGAAACGTGGTCTCAAGATGGCTAGTTCTCGTTGTATATCATCCTTGAGCTCAAAGATGAAACAATTTAACAGGGATGTTGGTGACATCATTAAGACACGATTCACCGGTAACTCAAATCAAGCTTGGTAGTCCATTATTGATCAAATTGGTATAACGTGAGTAATACGACTTTAGTATTTTCATAATTCGAGGGCCCAAATCAGAGTTCCAAGGCACAAATGTGTCAAACGTGGTGAGTTTACCATTTGTGTGCATCCATTGGTACCAAGGTAAGAATCGTCCTTGCATGAAGAGGGAAAGTAGGGAAATTTGTTGTGCCGAAGTGGTTTGGGTGAGAGCAAAATAATGGTTTGCCTGAAACAACCATTCTAGAGGTTTGCTATCATCAAAATAGGACAAGGTGAATTTTGGCGAACGAGCATGGTATGCAGCTGAGAAAGACAATCCTGAGGGAGAATCATGCATTTAGGCTTTCAAATTGGAGAACTTCACAAAGGCAAATTGAAGTTGCACCTCTTTCATCTAAGCAAGCATTGCATAAGAGGCTACTCCTAATTACCTTCATATTTTGCTCCATGTTCATGTTTTCAGAGGCATTTGGGCTTACGATGTAAGCACCAAATGATACGTGTAGAAGATAATGACCATTTTTTAGCAAGGGCAAGGCGAGGAAAATTGAACAAACTTTTCTTTACCCCTTTCATTAACAAAATTAGTTTACAAATATGTAGATTGGTTACGAGAATAACAAATTGAATGCCACATGGACAACACAAGGAAAAGTATGGAACAAACTAGAAGGAAATTACAATTCAACTAAGCATTTATCAGTCATAAGCATCCAACCATTATGATTTCTACTTCACTCTATGTGGCCTACGTATATTGGGTTTGCTTGCAATGTTTGGCCCATTATCCTTGTTATTTATTCTTATCATATTTGGCTTACAAGTTCAGTCCTCGTATAATGTTTATTTTCGAACCAATAGATATTTGGGCAGATTCAATAGAATGTTGGATTTTGCGAAAAATACATTGTGTATTTCTTATCTTGGAAAAGATACAAATGAGGTATAAATAGAATACAAGGTAATAAACCTATACACTAATTTATCCTTGAAAATCAGGGAAATATTCTCCCTATGAATGCTGTATATAATTGTACATAAATAACGAAATAAAATTGATTATATTATCATTAAATCCTATCATAATTGAATTATTCTAATTGATAGTGTTGATCTCCAACACTCCCCCTCAATCTGGGTGGTAGATGTTTATCATACCCAGATTGGATCTAATATTTTCATATGTGTTCCTTGGAAGAGCCTTTGTCAAGATATCTACTGTTTGTCTACATGATGGAACATGGTTAACACTTATAATACCATGATCAATTTTTTATTTAATGAAGTCGGTCAATATCTACATGCTTTGTCCTATCATGGTGCTAGGTTCTTTGCTATGCTTATAGAAGCTTTGTTGTCACACATTATCCTTATAGTGTAATTGATAGGAATTTTGATTTCATCTAACATCCTCTTAAGCTAGATTCCTTCACAGATACCTTGAGCCATAGCTTGAATTTAACTTCTGCACTACTCCTTGCCACCACAGGTTGTTTCTTGCTTATCCAAGTCACCAAGTTTCCCCACACAAAGGAATAATAGCCTGTAGTTGATTTCTTGTCAAAGGGATATCCTGTCCAATCTGAGTTAGTATACACTTTAATACCTATGTTTGAGTTCTTCTCGAAGTAGAGCCTCGGCCTGGTGTACCTTTGAGGTATTGAAGTATTTTGTTTGTCATGTTCATGTTGGCCTCAGTTGGATTAGATGTATAGCAACTAGCCAAGCTGACAGCAAACCCAATGTCGTTCCTGGTGTGAGTTAGGTAGATAAGCTTCCCAACTAGTCTTTGATATCTATCTTTATCAGCTAGTGGATTTTCTTTTTCACCTCTCTTTTCCGGTTCTATGGGAGTATTAGCTACCTTGCACCCAAGCATGCCAGTTTCTTAAAGTAAGTCCAGTGTATATTTCCTTTGTGATACATAAATATCATCCTTCATCCGAGCAACTTTCATCCCTAGAAAGTATTTGAGCCGGCCCAAGTCCTTAACTTCAAATTCCTTGGCTAAAATCCATTCAAATGCTTGATTTGATCATAATCGTCTTCTATGATAACGATATCATAAACATAAACAATGAACATGGCTACCTTCCCTTCTGCAGAGTGTTTGACAAACATCGTGTGATCTAATTGACATTGGTTAAATTCATTTTCTTTGACAACCCGAGTTAATCTATCAAACCATGTCCTCGAAGATTGCTTAAGGTCATATAAAGATTTTCGGAGCCTGCACACTATGTTTGAGGTTTTTGATGATTCAAGCCCCGGAGGAATTTGCATATAGACTTCTTCTTCTAGTTCACCATTTAGGAAGACATTCTTAATGTCTAGTTGATAAAGTGACCAATCTAAATCTGCAGCTAAAGAGAGTATAACTCGAATTGAATTGAG